CATCATTTTCATACTTTTCGTATATAAGCACTCTTGTTTTGTTGCTGTAGATTATTCTTATGCTGCTTTCCCCTACCTTAATATTTAAACCGTCAAAGTTAAGGCGGATTAAAATTATATTACCGCTCAACAGGGTGCTCAATAAATGCTTGTGAAATATGCCCGCTACACGTAGAGCCGGAATTTCGCGTTATCATTGCACGGTCCGTGTGCAAAGCCGCGTTTTTAGAGCTTCTATGCCGTCTCCTGCAGCCCCCGTCGGCTTCTGAGGCTTTCGTTGTCAGTAATGCGTGATGAACCAACTCCCCAGTCCCCATGCCGACGGTATTTCAGGAATGCGATGAGTCTAAAACTTATAGGAAAAATATCGGGTTGCGTTCAGTGGAAATGCTGTTAGACATTTTCTTATTGATAAGAGTTCGCAAACTTTTGCCAATTGCTAATAGGGAATAGGGTAATGTTGCGTAGCGGTCATATGGCTTCCCATGTCGTTAGCCACTGAAAAGTGTAAGAAAAAAAAAACGAAAAGCTTCCATTACCCGTCATGCTTCTGGCATGAACATCAGTTGCATCTGCGGGTGGTTGACAACATGACAGAAGCGCTATCGCATTAGACTCGGCTCAGAATGACAGTGCACTTTCTGAGAAGATAATCTGGAAAAGAAGGCTCTCTAATCGCGCCGCGTAGCTCCTGCTCCAAGCTTTGGTTCTGACGATTAGCTGGTATATAATCCTTTTTTCTATTAACAACACGGATGACGGCTAATGCACCAGACCATTGTCAACCTACAGGGTTTGGCATAAGTTTTGTCCCAAAAAAATGGGCTCTCTTAGCTGCTATATAAGATGTAGCGTTTCTTTTTCAGCGTTCAGTATATTCCCCCACAAACAGGGATTTTTACGCACGAACACAATTTGGCATGTTGGCAACCAGGTTGTGCAGCAAAGGCGGCTTTATTTTGGACCATACCCGTTTGAGAATTGTAACGGCAGGGCGCCGAGGCTAGCCGCCAAATTGTTCAACCTTTAATTCTGTCCAAGCCAACGAAATTCACCTTCGTATCTATGGGGGGGGGGGGGATGAAACGGATGCCTCTCCGTTTTTTTTTTTTTTCATTAAATCATTGCTTCCATGTGACGTTGTAGGAACAGCGGAGGCCCCAAAAAATAAGTAAAATAAAAGCATAGGATATCTCAAAAACCGGTGAATATTTTTTTTTGGTGAAATTTGGTAGATATTGATTTCCTCCCTTTCTGAACCACGGTACATCACCTTTATGCCAATTCAATAGCTTTTTTGAAGGTGGGAGGGTCCCTTTAACCCACGAATGACTGGGGTATTTTCCATAACGCGGTTGACTGGGTGGGGGCTCTATATAGATCCCCCTCCTTTCTCCGAAACTACTGGGCTGATTGTCAAAATTGAAATGGCGTCAAAATTGATAGCCCAGGACAAGCTTTCGAAATAAACCTAATTTAATTCGCCTAGAGGTCATTGATACCGTCACAGGTCAGGTCAAATAAAAAATTATCAACATTTTGGCTTGATCACAAGTTGGGCTCTGGCCGCCGGCAAACAAATCAGATCAGGCTGATTTTTGGTTTACACACTCGTTAGTCGTAACTTCATGCTTAGGAATCCCTGAGAGCACCGAACTTGTATTTCGAATTTTTCAGGTCAAGGCCAGGTCATCCCAGGCCAGGTCCCGGAAATTTTATATTATGCAGCGGTCACGTGACACATGTTTTATGGTCCATTTCAGTCATATATTTTGAAAACAGTGTCGTATGAGTCATACGAGGCCAATTTTAGCTGAATTCATCTGAGGCCAGGTCACTTACAGGTCAAAAACGTCGAATTTTGAGGTAGAAATTTCTCAACAAAAAATGTATTCAACAGATGCAGTTTGAGCTCAGGAACACGATGAGGCTATTTATTTTGATGTACGATGTCGAAAATGTACTGCAAATTGATCTGACTAAAAATTTGTAATGGTAAAATATTGACTATAAAGCGTATAACTTAACTATTTTTGAAGATATTGGGCTAAAAGTTACTAGGGTAGGTCGTCGGTTTGTGTTCTATCACATAGGTATATCCCGTTTTTTCCAAAGCCAAAAAACTTTCAGGGAAAGGTTTAAAAACATAAATGTTTAGATTTTATATCTGTAAACTTAAATGTTTTCAAAGTTTCGAAATCTAGTGCAGCTTAATACCCCTGTGTAAAGTCCTCTCGTGCAAAGAACTTGGATCTAGCGTAAAAACTAAGCTCTTGAGAGCGATGTATTGCTATGGCCGGAGGCCGAGCTGGATTTAGTCGAGGAAAGATCCTAGACCAGGCTGATCTTTGACCTGTCACACAATTTATTATTTATACGCATTTTTATCATTACAAGCCCCACATACGATTTAAGACTTAGCTAAAAGCACATCGATCAGTTTTCAGTAACAAGCCTTCGCTTTACCATTGCCATTTTCCTCCTCCGATCGCACTCACGTATACTCGTATGGTTGACAGTCAAGGCATCTTAACCTACATCGGTGTTTCAACAAGCTGAGCTGAAGGCGAAAACATACAACCGTCTGAGGCTGTAAGACAGGAAAATTATTCATAATGCATCACCAATGCAGAAAATCTCGAAAGGCTTAGACTTTAAAGAGCACTGGATGAAGCCGCGCTTCCGCAGTTTGTGAGAAGAGGGCCCTGCAGGCACACGGCTGTTCACAGTGGTGAGGAACAGGCATTGCACCAGGCAGTGGACAGAGACACTGCCTGGGCGGCTGGTATCAACAGGTACCCAGTAAACGACAATCACTGCTGTCGACCGTTCCACGGAATAAGTCGTGCGTAGACAGATCGGGACGACAGGACAGCTGTCACCGTGTCAGCGAGAATCAGCCGACCAGAGGTGTGACAGTGCACGCTACAAGCTGGGTAGGAGCACCGTGACGGATGGCGACCAACAAATAACGACGACAGGGAGAGTAGAAATGAGGCTGCGGTTGCTCGTCTGCGCCCTGGTGAGTGGTGAAGGAACTCCCAGACTCAGTGGATGAAAAACCAACGATGACGGATTGTTTCACTCAGACCCCATTTAACTGCTCGATATTATAAATGCATTGTAGTCGTATTCTCTACCACAACACTGCGCAACAATTCCCTTTATGTCATGAACAAGCAATTCGTTTCAACCGTTATCATGAATTCCTCGAAGAACCTAGTGTTCGCCATAAAGCCACATGATGATAAATTAACCCTCGCATGTGTGCGGCGTTTGCCAGCTTCTAATGTGTAGGGGGGGGGGGTCGGTTGGACCCCCCCCTTGCCGTTTGGCCCCTGATCGAGCTAGAGCTTCGCGGAAAAAACGAGCGTGTTGCCCGTGACGAGAGGAAGCCGATGATACCCAATTTTAAGTCAGGTCAGGTCAATGACCCAAAGTCGGGAAAATCGGGAGCTGTTAGAAAGTCGTAAAGTGTGGCTGCTAAGGGGTTTTTCGGGGTGCTGATCACGAATGTCGTGTTAGTGTTGATCACAGATGATGTCTTTAAGCATTTAGACCAGGTCAGGTCAGGTCAGGTCAGGTCAACCAGCAGGCGTCGTGACGAGTATTCGTAGTACGTGTCAACCGCCTCTGACAGCTTCGTAACATGTTACGAAGGCACCAAAACCACTTCGTAAATGTTCAAATGGTTGCTAAATTCGAATTCAGCTCCAAAAACTAGCCTAGGAACATGTACAGCTCGAAAAAGTGAACCGAGGTCACCCGAGGTCACCAAAGGTCAATGACCTGACCTGACCTTCAGGTGACCTTGACACCCACCCTAATGCATGGAAGCACGTTAGGCGGCACGGGCGGACATCGATAGCAGCGCCTCTATCGGTCACTAGGGAAAGCTTGGCTGTAGGCGACGAAATACCGGCCGAGTTGTCACACGTTGAATAGGTTTATAGACATCCGCCTTGTGAAAAAGTTGAACTTTTGCCTTCAATATTTCTACAGGCAATTTCAGAAGTGTCTTCACATAGATTACAAAACCATTTATACTATTCTATTCACTTCAAGCCTTTCCTATTGTTCTCGACGAGATGCGAGAACTATTTCTTATTAGTGTTTCTAGCTTAGTAAAAGAACATATTATGCAAACGATGAAAAAAGCATAAATGGAAGATTTTATATGCAATTTTCTCTAACAATAAATGGTAAATTATCTACATATCAAGGAAAAGATGCATGCTAACTGATAATATAAAGTTCTTGGGGCCAGTTGTTTTCCTCTTTTCTTACGTCGCCCCAATGGCCGCGAATACACTAGTGATAACGCCTATCGAACATCAAATCACATGTTTGAACGTTTGAAACCACGAAAAGCTTGCAAACGCGCGGCTAATGCGAGCCGACATACGCAGAATCGCGATTCCGGCCAAACATGGTCTCGGAAAAGAGGTCACAGGTCAAAGGTCATTTGGGTCAGGGTCATGAAATTTTCAGGGTAGGTGTAAAATTGATCAATGTGAGGGTACTGAGAGTTTTGTCGCGATCGGGCGCTTTTTACGCGAGTTTTTCGCGAAAAACCATGGGGGGTCCATCCGACCCCCCTACACATGCGAGGGTTAATTATTTATAATTTGGTTTTGCGTGGCGCGAGAAAATACATCGCTAAGGACAAATCGGGACAAAACTAAATTAGAACCGGACCACCAAGTATCCAAACAATTTGCTTTTTTATTATTGGACCTGAATACCCATTCATTATACCCATCCAACTCCTTAATCAGCTTCTCTCGTTTACCAGACTGGGCTGTCACTGGCAACAGAAGATGATGTACCATATAACTCGCGATCGAAATTAACTAACTAGGGTCAGCGCAGCGCGGCTTGAGCTTAGTTATACGGGACAGGCTAAGTGATGAGTCGAAGCGGCAAATAAGTAGTGGAAGCCACAACTCACGCCATCCAAGCTGGCACATAGTTGAAACATTGTTCTGTTCCACGCAGGCCATGGTCGCCGTCGCTGATGGTGCGTTGGACGGTGCCGAAAGGACGGGTGTGGGCAGGGTAAACCGCCAAGGCAGAAGTCTGCTAAGCTTCTTTAGGGGCTTATTTGGCTCTAAACAGCGCCTGCCGTCGGCTGCTGGCCCGCTGGTGATTCGGCCGGTCATACAGCTCCTGTCGCCGCCGACCTGCAAGGTAGGGAGCACACGTGCATATACAGCAGGTTCTGAAACTGCGCTAACGGTGGCTCCGTGCCATCAGCCGACCGAGTTCACGCCGCGGCTTAGCCAGAGGGAAAACGTCCGCCACGGCATGCCAAGCGAAAACGCCTCAAATCCAAATTGGGAATCTTAAAAAACAGATGTGGGTTACAAGATCTAAATACTGTGCATATTTTCCCTAAGATCTTGAAGGCGGAAACCGAAAGTGGAAATTTCAGCGTGTCACTTTTTAGTCGATTTGCTATGCCGTTAACAATATTTCAAAAGCAATGCCGAGTAGTTTCGGAAGCTATTTTGATTCTTCGAGAATCACAGCTAAGATTGATTAAGGTTTGTCAATTTTTGTACTATTTGTGTCTTTGTTATATGGATTGTTGATTGAAGCGACGTATGCCGGAACTGTATACCATGCATGCTACTCGCGACTAATCTCTGCTTACCTTGTGGCAGGGTGCATCGTGCAGCGGCCCTGCGGTCAGCCCGCCAGCGGTCAGCGGCCCAGCAGTCAGCCCGTCGCAGTGCAGCCGCCACAGGCCGTGTCCCCAGGGCGTCTGCCTGCGGGGCCGGTGCGAGGCCTGCTCCTCCGACCCGCAGTGCGGCCGCGGCCGGCGGTGCTCCGGGGGCCGCTGTATGGCCCTCTTGAGCGCCGGGCAGCGCTGCTTCACTGACGGCAGCTGCCTCTCCAGGAATTGTCTGTACGGGCGCTGCGCCGCGTGCTCGCTCTACCAGCCCTGCGCCGAGCACGAGTACTGTCTGAGCGGCCAGTGCCGGCCGCCCGGTGAACTCGGAGAGCGATGTCATGTGGACAAGAACTGCCGGTCTCATGTCTGCCTGCGGAACAGCTGTACTGAGTGCAGGAACCACACGGATTGCAGAGCAGACCAATTCTGCTCGGAAGGCAGCTGTCACGCCAAGCGGTTGCTGTTCCAGAGCTGCCGTGACGGCTCTGAATGCAGCTCGGCACTCTGCGGCACTCAGAAGGTGTGTGTCGAGTGCCAGAGGACGGCCGACTGCCGGCAGGGCCGCTCGTGCCGCGTCGGTCACTGCGTGCCGTCCGAGGTCCTCGGCGGCTACTGCAGCGACGACTCCAACTGTCGTAGCGGCCGGTGCGGCCCGCTAGGAACCTGTGTCTCGTGTCGGGTGGACCGGGAGTGTCGCGGCGGTCACTTCTGCGCCAGGGGGGAGGGCGAATGCTACCCGTTCGGAGAGAAACTGGACTGGTGTACCGAAAACAGCCAGTGTCGCAGCCAAATCTGCTCCCCATCCCGCGTCTGCGCAGATTGTGTCTCACTTAGGGACTGCAAGGAGGGAGAGATCTGCTTTCAGAATCTATGCACCCCGATCTAAGCTTTTCCATATAAGCCAGCCGTGTTCTAAGCACTTAAGGAGACACAATAATGTTAATAGCGTAAAATTTTGATTACAAAAGACTTTCTATCGTGACACCGTCGGATACAGTGAAGGCTTGCATGGTCCATGTATTATGAATAATAAAACCGTGCCTAACGACGGGTCCTGAATCTGATATTACATTGGTCAGAGATCCGCGGAGCCTGGCGACACTTGACGAACCGAACATAGCAGAACAATGCCGGAAGATGCGAGGTGGTAGCACAGCCTACACCAACAAGTATGTAAACAAAAACAGACCTGTCTTATAGGTCACCCTGTATGACGGAAATGCGCCAATGCACCGCAATGTGAGCACACATTATGCTGCATGGCTATTCAACAACGTATATCAGGCTGAAAAGTAAGAATTATCTATCCATGCACAACAATAACGTCAACGAGCAGATGTCCTAGTAGTTATACGATTGTAAAATGCACATTGCACATTTATGTGTCCACTTATACTCTTTGGAAAAAAGCAACAGCTGTCGAAATCGGTTAAGGCATAGTTGCCTGGCGTTACTTCTCTTGCTTCAGTTTGCTGTTAACCTTCAGTCCCCAGGCGGCATCCACAATGGCCAGGGTCAATGTTAGGGCGGCCATACCGGAGGCTAGTAGCGACAGTCCCACCTCCTGTATAACTGTAGCCCCCAGCGGCGGCCAGGCCGCCTTGCCCATATTGTAAACGGCTCCGTACGCAGACGACACCAAGGCATGACCACGCAGGTTGTCTTGCAGGCCGGCGGCCACCGAGCAGCGCAGCAGCAGGCCCAGCAGTGGCAGGCGTGCACACTGGCAGAACGCCTCACGTACCGCCATGCCGACGCCGAGCAGCGCGCGGGATGGCGGCAGATCTAGAGGAGGCGCCGGCGGCATCAGCAGCACCCCGAGAGCGGTAGGTGGCAGACAGGCGGCCACCAGCAGGAATGTGTTGCGCATAGAGTCGGCCAGCCGGCTCCATGCTGGACTTACGACAGCAAATGACAGCCGCGAAGCCACGTAGAAGAGGCCCAGTTCTGAGGACTCGACGTTCAACTGCTGCTGAACGTACGGTCCAAGACTGGGGTCCAGTGCCCACCAATTCATAGAGGCAATGAACAATGTGGTAAAGATGAGCCAGTTGTCCGGACAGCAGAGTACCACTCTCAACATCTTCATGTAGCTCTGTTGCTCCGCCCGATGGTCAGCGTCTTTTTGCTGCGCCTCTGTCTTGCTGCCACTCTCAGTGCTGCCTGCCGCGGGCATAGCCTTCGCCACAACATTAATCGCCGCAGTGGCGAGCAGTAGTCCTCCAAGAGTGTAGAACGGCAGACCGTACCCTCCAAGCACGTACAGGCCTCCCCCGAAAGCTGGGCCGACGCAGAGGCCCACCGCTTTTCCTGCATCCAGGACTCCGATGCCCACGTTCACCCGACCTGGGAACTGGTTGATGACGATAGTTCTGGCTGAGGTCAGTACGGCTGCCGTGCCCACCGCTTCGGCGGCGCGCACGATAAGACAGCCGGCCAGAAACGCTGCCGGTCCGGGGACGTGCGTCAGAAGACCAAACGTCACTGTGGCGACACCGGCGACCACCAGACCGGCTAGGTAGAGGCGTTGGACGCCGAGCCGCGGCGCCAGCCAGCCCATGACTGGGTAGGCGATCATTTCGCCCAGGGCGAAGGCGCTGAACACTGCTCCGGCGGCGGTCAGACTGAGGCCACGCCGCCGGGCCTCGCCGGGGAAGAAGGGTAACTGGACGGACTGGCAGAAGCCGTCAAGCACGGCGCCAAGCGACAGACAGATAAGCAGCCGCCGCTGGGCCCAGGAGAGCGGCGGCAGGGCCCCGGCGGCAGGCTGTCCACAGCCGCCACTGGTCTTGGTTTCCGCAGTGGTGGCGGGGACAGCGGGACGGTCTCCGGCAGCGCCGTATTTGAGCCTACGAGCTCCCTCACCAGCTACCTGAGTCTTCGCGGCAACCTTTTCCATTATGGTATCGTCTTTGTCATTAGTTGCGGAAATGAGGCTGACGTCACGTATTCCGTGAGTTTCTACTCGGTTAGGCGGCGAAGTTTCCTTGGTGCCCGGCACCTGGTCCACCTGCGGTGTCAAGGCGTCTCCGTAGTCGGGAGTGGAGACCAGGTCGCACGCTCTACCGACGGCCCTGGCAAACTGACTATGTTTGGCGGCCATTTTCTATCATATGATTCACTTTTGTGTTCTCTTGACTGAATTGTTTGATCGGTTCTTCGTTTACAGATCAGAAGCTGAAATATTTATTAGTTAGAAACATGATGAGGGTCACTATATTTAAACAGCTTTTACATTCTGGCCTTCCGAAGAAAAATAGTTGTTTAACCCGCGCCCGGCTGGGGGTCCTGGATTTCCACGCCCTGCTGGGGGGGGGGTTGAACACCCCTCCTTCTAACTCGGCTCCTGGGCCACGTAGCGATACGCGGAAGGCGGCGTTCGAAAGAGCGTCAAAAATAAGAAAGAAATCTGCACTTCGGTCACTTTTGGTCAGGTCAAAGGTCAGGTCACCAGAGGTCATTGAAGGCAAAAATTCGCCGATTTGTAGGTCAGATGTCGACAATTTTCAACAAATCGACGCACAGCTCGGAAACTAAATAAGCTACAGCGCCGCGGAAAAGTTCATTTGATAGCCCTATTAACGCTCTTTCTGAATAATTCTCTCGGATTCGACCTACCGTCAACGGTTTTGCCTGCAGGGGGCAAAAACTACCAAAATAGCGATTTTTTCGGAAACGGTTTTCTGCAATAACTTCTGACGCATACCTTGCACGAACATTCTTTTGCCAGCATCGTGTTCCTCTCGTCAAGACGCCTCGAATAAATTATCACTTGACCTTGAAAGGTCAACTTGAAAATTTGACCTCAGGTCAAGGTGACCTGACCGGCAAGGGTCAAGTTGCATTTCAGTCGATCCGTATCGTCGAGCCAAACACAACAAAGGTGTTTTAATCGCTCTAGCATGCCTCTACCAAAAGCTATTCGCGAAAAAAACAGTCAGATACCATCGGTGGCCTGAGATGACCTTTGAGGTATAAAAAGGGGTCACGGGTGCCATTTTCATGTTCAGTGTGTCAAAGATACTAGTAATTCAGTGTTTTAGAGTGTTTATAATGACTTCCGTCTAAAAAAGGCGACTTTAAATTTTCTCCCATTGACTTGTAATGGCGAGTTCGCAAAATTGACCTGACCTTAGGTCATCGATAGTCACTCGGTGTGGCTTTGGCAGACATTGAACAGTAAGGTCACTTGACCTGACCTGGTGACCTCTTAAGAGTGACCTGGGTCTGAAATTTTCGCAACATATGTAGAAAAGATGTATGATATAGTGTGCCAAAAACTGTAGGGGGAGTGTTCAAACACCCCCTCAGCAGGGCGCGGGTTAATTGCCTAGCCGCATACACATAGTTTAACACGCGCACTGCAGCGGGTCTGAGCCGAACACGAACTGCAGGGGGGGGGGGGGTGAAAACAACCCCCCACCCCCTGAGATCTCGTAAACGGCGCAACGTAGCGACAAGCGGTAAACGGCGTTGGATAGGTTTCGATGAGATCTGCAAGAAATACAAAGATCATTTTTGGGTCAGGTAAAAAACGAGGTCAGCAGAGGTCACCAAACTCAAAATGTTGCGATTTTTTAGCGATCTCGACATCCCTCCATATTTCCCGCTTTATCTCGGGAACTAGATGAGCTAGAAAGTTGTGAAAAAGCATTCGATAGCTGTTGAAACGCTCTTTCGCTAACCTATCCTCAGATTTGACCTAAGGTCAACGGTTCAGCCTATAGAGGTCATGTAATGTCAGATCAATATTGCAAATTTTCCGGAAATGCTTTTTCTGCAATAACTTTTCTTCCCAAAGAGATAGAGATATAATTCACACACCATCGTTCTTAGCTCGTCAAGGCACATCGAATGGTATATAATATGACCTCGAAAGGTCAAGTTCAAAAGTTGACCTCAGGTCAAGGTCATGACCTGACCGAAATAGGTCATGTTGCATATCATTCGATCCGCATTGACGAGACAAACACGATAAACGTCGAATGGAGTCTCTATCTCTATTCAATTAAAAGTTATTGAAGAAAAACCGTTGGTGACCGTTGAATTGCATACTGGGCCCCAAAAAGTGACCTGACCTAAGGTCACAGAAATAAAAATTTCGAAATATAGAAAATGTTCCTTATGGTCTCCTAATATGTTTCTGAAAGTTTCATAGCATTCAGTCAAATGGTGTGGATGTAGCATAGCGTCAAACTTTTTATGAGGTGAGGTCACTTATCGTGACCTGGTGACCTGACCTTGCATGACCTAACACTAATGTTTTCAGAGGTGATGTAAAATTGTTTGATGAACAGCTATACAAAGTTTCAAAGTCGTAGCTTCACTGGTTTTTTAGTTACAGCGAAAAAAACAGAGGGGGGTTGAAAACAACCCCCCCCCCCTGCAGTGCGCGTGTTAAAGTTCGCTTAGTGCCTGCTAACTGTTTAATGCTATTACAGCCGTTTCCACGACGGAATAACGGGTACCTAATAGATACCTGTTTGATCCGTTGATAGCTCAGAAATTTTAGTAATTCTTTATGGTAGGTTTCCCACCTTTCGAATGAGTGCCCCGTTACTTTGCTGTTTTTTTCACTAAATATTATATGAATTTATTTTATCTAGGGTGTACGTTTACCACTCACGTGACCTAAACTCTAAAGTGTAAGCACGTTTATGAAATTCTCAAATCTGATACCTAGGCCCAATCTTACCAAATGCCGTGAATGCGCATTTACGGCATTTGGTAGCATTTTAAACTACTCAACATTCATTTATTCATTCGTTTGGGCAACATTCATAATCATTTACGTTACCAAAATCATCGGATAAGATTAGCTGGATGTAAATAAAAAGGATAGACCCCGGCCAGTGCTGCCAAATCCTATTTACGGCATTGGTAAGATTGGGCCCTAGTGCTGGTACAATATATGTATACTGAGCTGCCAGCTGCGGGTGACCAAGCTCTCCCAATTCCACGCTGGCTTGGCTTTGGAGCCGCAGCAGACGGCGGCGGATTTGATGCACCCGGGCACCACCATGGCTGACCGAGCTCTCCCAATTCCACGCTGGCTTGGCTTTGGAGTCGCAGCAGACGGTGGCGGTCAAGGTCACTGCTAAGGCGGCGGCAGATTTGTTGCGCTCGGGCACCACCAGGTCCCGCGCAGCGTCGAGCTGGGGAAAGGGAAGCCGGTTATTTAGTTGCCAGGCTGATTTGCTCCCTCATAGTGGAAAGGGGGCTACTAGAACCGAAAATTGATTTGTTTGTAAATAAATAAGCGATTTGATGGCGAAAATCAACTAGATTACAGCCTCTAAAAATATTTTGAAGGCAAAAAGACTTCAGTTGTAGGAATTCTAAGGCCTTAAAGGCTTGGTACTTTTCATGTATCAATTCATAGGTTCCACCGTGAAAGTCCCGTCGTGAAAACGGCCATTTTGTACCCTACAGTATATTTAGCCCGCGCCCCGTAGGGGAGAGGGGCCGAAACGGTCTCTCCCTGTCCTTTTCCGTAGATAACTCTCAAACGGCTGCAGATATCGTCACCAAACTTTCAGGACTCCTCCAGGCATCAATTTTACACATCGTGACTAAAGTAATTTCCAGAGGCTATGATAGATTGGCCGCAAGTGACATCAGAATGACGTCGTGTTCTGCCACTTTCGACCCCCAAAAAAGGTTTCGCGAGAAGAGCTGTCAGCCCTACAGCATTGAAGATACAGAAAAACGTTCAAAACATAGAAGGTGTAGAATAAACGGGACTACAAAACTGCTATTCCTGATTTTTTTATTTTTTTGACCCCTAAAATAAGTCATTTTTTGGATATAATAGCCAAAAAATAAAAGAAAAATTACTTGAGTTTCGAAAAGTAAAACAAATATCTGATAGCCCACACCGTGTTCTATCTACATATCAAATTTGAGATCAATACCTCTTTTATTGGCTATGTTCTCCCTCGCCCGCACATGCCATTTTCCCATCCTAGAACGCACATGGGGGGGTTGCCACCCCCCCCACCCCCCGCGCCATTTCGTTCCTGTTGGAGATAGAGTTTAGCGGTAAAGACCAAAAAGATTCTTTGGGAAGAGACGAATCCAATGATACCCAGTTTTACCTTCTCAGGTCAGTCATTGACCTTCCAGGTCAGGTCAAACTAAAAAAATGTTGCTGTTTTGGGTCACCGTTGGATATCAAGTGCGCTGCTTATCGTATAGGTACCGATGATGATTAGAGGTGGCAAAAGATGAAAATTTTGGGAACCAGACTCGAACCAGACCCGGCTGGACATTTCTGGAACCAGTCGGACCCGGTCTTTAGTTGGAATCGGAACCAGTTGGACCCGTTTCTCAAAGGTCAATTAATACAAACTACTTGTACCTAGGTATCATTAGTTGCATCATGTAAACAGCCTATTTCCCACTGGGAATACTCATGAGCTACTGTGTGTAAAGAAACATTCACTTCATATTTTGCAATAATGTGTAGTGTGCAAGATGTATAGTTTATAGTAGGACCCGGTTGGACCCGTCAGAAAATTTCCAGGAACCGGTCTGGACCCAGATGGGTCCAGACTGGTTCTTTGGACCGGGTCCTCGGGTCCACATTTTGCCACCTCTAATGATGATACCGTTTTCTGGTGCCAAACCTAACCCACATAATCGCATTTGTCATGTAAAATGGACCATAACATGTCTCACACGACACTTTCATATTGTGAGCCTCCGTGACCTGACCTCTGTGACCTGACCTGTATCAGTGACCTCAAATAGCATAAGATGTGTTTGATGGACAATTCCCCATCGATGATTTTCAATGGTATTCCTTTTTACTCGATTTTACAAAACATTTCGTGAAATGCCTGTTAACGGTGAAAATTCAACCTTTGACCTGACCTGTGCCGTCATCGGTTAAGCTTA